TACACTACGATAATCCTAAGCGTAGAAAATACGTGGGGTAAGCCCGGCCATGCATCAACATCGTCGGCAAAGCCGAATATCCATGGTTCGAAACTTCTGCTCTGCATTTGGTGGGATCAGCAGGGCGTAATTTATTATGAGCTGCTTAAACCTAATGAAACTATCACGGGAGCTCGCTATCGACTTCAGATGATGCGTTTGAGTCGAGCTCTAAAAGAAAAGCGGCCACTATACGGGCAGAGACACGACAAAGTCATTTTGTTACATGACAATGCTCGGCCACATGTGGCAAAACCAGTCAAAACTTACCTGGAAACGCTTCAATGGGAAGTTCTACCTCACCCGCTGTATTCACCGGACATAGCCCCCTCGGATTACCACTTGTTTCGGTCGATGGCGCATGGTTTGAGCGAGCAGCGCTTCCATTCTTTCGAAGAAACCGAAAAATGGGTCGATTCATGGATTGCGTCAAAAGATGAATCGTTTTTTCGACGGGGGATTCAATTACTGCCAGAAAGATGGGAGAAAGTGGTCTCTAGTGATGGACAATACTTTGAGTAAAGTTATTGTAAGCCTTATATTTTAAATTAATGTTTTTTTTAACTAAAAAAAACAAGCGAGAACTTATTCAAGGTATAAAATATATATATATTATATATATTGTGCTTTTATATAAAATGCAATTCCGAAAAATACTTACAAAAAACACTTTTGCAGTTTGTGTATTATAAAAGGCCAATGAATGTTTCTTCCTACCCCAATAAGTAAACATAGAGGTCAATTCATCTGTCATGGTTTCCTTTTGAAAATGACTGAGAGCTTCTCTTAATTTGATTCCCCCAATAAACTTTAGATATGATGCCTGTAACAAAATCATATTATTTATAATTATGTCTTTTACAAAAAATATTATGTATATGGCAAAATAAATATTAAATACCAATTTCTGCAAACGATCTTTATCAGTTTCCAATTCCTGAAAATCTTCGATTGGTGTTAATGGAAAGCCATCTGGTTTTTCATATAAACTGTTTTGCGTCGTCAATACATGATGTTCTTTCAACATTTTTATGTCTGATAATATACTGCATTTTGCTCTATCACTTTTCTGTAACATTAAAGATATTTCATAAAATAAAAATAATGTATGTTTGCTATAAATTTCTCATTAATATAATTTTTATTAGTATCAATATAATAAATCTGCTAGTATAATGTTATTGCTATAATGTTGCACTTGATTTTGACATAAATTCTAAGAAAACTAAAAAAGTAGTATTATTAGAAGAAAAATAAATATTACTTACGCACCTCAAAAGTTTAATAATTTCGTCTTCCTTTCTTTCGTTTTGATTGGATGAGTTTAATCTCAGACAATCTGCAAAAATATAAATAAAATTATTATTTATTTTATTTTAATTTTTTTATTAAAGCATATTTTTTAACAACGCAGATATGTAAACATATTTTTTAAAATTTGTTACATATATTTAAAAAAATTTATTAAAATCACTAACATATAATTGAACAGGCCCATATTGTTTTGACAAACATATTCAAAAAATAAAGACTCTAAGGCCGACGCTAAATGTACGTGCAAAAAATTTTTATAATTTCTATAAAGAAATAAATTTTGCTAAATATATAAATTATTAAGTTGTACACTAATCTCAATTCAAGGTTCGCGTATAGTGTACAGAAAATTAAAGTGCACAGATCTCATATTTCGAGAATCATAGAGATGTACAATGAATATTTTAAGATTCCTAAGGAAAGAAAGGATCGAAAAAAATAATCTGAGACAAGAGCGGCTAAGTTGGGACACGATTATTAAAATCATATAATTGTAAATTACTTTTATACATGCAGTACAAACTTAAATCTTACCAGATTCTTTTAAGTTGTCTCGAAAAATAATCGGTATCTCATTAATGTCTAATAAAAGAGATGTTTCTTCATTTTTGTTATTGCTTTCTGTATTTTTTTTATGATGAACATCAAGACCATTAGAATCCTCAACAGAAACAAATTGACGATTATTCATTTCAGAGATGTTTGAAATAGGAATAAATCGAGTATTTATATTTAATGATTTTGCAGAGGAATTTTCTATTATAGTTGGCTTTATGTATCTTGTTGTAACAATATTATTTTTTTCCAAACTATGTATTCCACTTCCAGATGGCATTTCGGTTTTACTTGAGACCAATGTAGAATTCTCATTATTGCAAGACATTCCACAGTCTTGTCCAATAACATTTGTTAATGTATGACTTGTATCATATTTTATTGATCGTACATTCTGATTATTGAATGATAATGCACGATTGGTATGTTTTATTTGTTTTGATTCTTTTGCGTAGCCATTGTGTGACAATGTATCCATGCTGATACTGCATGATAAGATATTATTTGCATTGTGTTTCGGTGTTTCCATAACATATTTTATTTTGCATTTGTCCAAGTAGTTTGAAGAAGTAATATCTTTTAATATATTTAGTTGTGCTGCACATGACTGCAGATCATACAATTCTTCACGTATATTTGTAGATTTGCCTTTCTTAATTTTTCTTTTAATCTTCCGTTTTTCATCAGAAGAAGCAATTGTAAGCAATTTTTTCGGTTTTATTATATGTCTTCCTTTTGAAGTCATTTTCAAATCTTTCATCGCATGTTTGTCTGTACAACTTTTTATTGTACTTTTAACATTAGACATTTTATGCTAAGTAGAAAAAAATAATACATGTCTTTCATGTTACAAAAAATACAAATGTTAGAGACCTTAGGCCTTGGACCTTAGGCCCGAGATCATAGTCGTTTCTCAAATCTCAGATCTCAATCTCAGATCTTGAATCAAGAGAATGAACCAATCAAAAGGCCGCATTAGTACTAATGAGATCTGAGATTTGAGAAACGACTATGAATTCGGACCTTAATGTTACATATCTTAATAACTACAAATTTAGATATTTTACAAATATCACATTTGTAATTACAAGTTATACAATACATTATCATATCTCTGTGAAGTATAACATTACTCACTAAGTTATGCGCAACAGCAAGATACATCAGGCACCTATGTTGATTACGTTATTTATAGAAATTATTACATTAATCAATTCTGTCATATACAATATTTTTTTATACAAATAAAAGTAACACTACTTAATATAAAAAAGAATTTTACATTTGCCACCTTTTTTTATATTTTTTCTAAGCAAAATTTTTAAACAATTCACAGAATGTCTATTTAAATCTTTTTTTAAAGAATTTCTCAAAATTATCTGATTTTTCTAATTTGCTTAAAATTTCTTAACAATAACAAAAATCCTGATATTAATAATAAGTCTCTGTATTTCAATTTCTTTCATTATTTGTAAGAATTACGAAAAGAAAGAAAGACAAAGAAACGAAAAGAAAGGAAAAAAGGAAAAGCAAAGAAAAAGAAGAAAAAGGAAGGGAAAGAAAAGGAACAAAAAGGAAGGAAAAGAAAGAAAAAAGAAAAAAAAGAAATGGAAGGGAAAGGGAAAGGAAAAAAAAAGAAAAGAAAGGAAAAAAAGGAAAGGAAAGGAAAAAAAAGGAAAAAAAAAGGAAAGAAAAGGAAAGGAAAAGTATAGAAAAAGGAAAGAACGCAAAGGAAAGAAAGGAAAGGAAAAGGAAAAGGAAGGGAAAGAAAAGGAACAAAAAGGAAGGAAAAGAAAGGAAAAAGAAAAAAAAGAAATGGAAGGGAAAGGGAAAGGAAAGGAAAAGAAAGGAAAGGAAAGGAAAGGAAAGGAAAGAAAAGGAAAGAAAAAGAAAGAAAAGGAACAAAAAGGAAGAAAAAAAAAGGAAAAAGAAAAAAAAGAAATGGAAGGGAAAGGGAAAGAAAAGGAAAAGAAAGAAAAGGAAAGAAAAGAAAAGAAAAGGAAAAAAAAGGAAAGAAAAGAAAAGGAAAAGTAAAAAAGGAAAGAATGCAAAGGAAAGAAAAGAAAGGAAAAGGAAAAGGAAGGAAAGAGAAGGGAAAAGAAAGAAAAAGGAAAAGAAATGAAAAAAGGGAAAAAACAGAAAGGAAAGGTGAAAGAAGGGAAGGGAAGGGTTGGGGAGAGAAAGGAAAGGAAAAGAGATGCAGAAAAAAGAAAGAAACGGAAAAGAAGGGAAAAGAAAAGAAAAAACCGACAAAAACTGAAAAATTAGATTACCGATGCAATATAAAAAAGTTGATAAAAGAAATAATTTTTTAAAAGTTCCATGGGTTTCAATAAATTTCTATTAAAATTCTCTAACTTCTAAAAATTAAAAAATCAGGTAAATTTTCAGGTTTTCTAAGTTTCTTTAATTTGGAATAGATATTCTGTATCTGCGCTATATAATGACAAATACGGTTGGATGCACCAGTGTGCACTAAGTATGCTTTTCTTAATATCTTTCACAAAGTTTTGTATAAATAATGAATATTTAATCATTTTTTAACAAGAGTTCAGTGCACTATCAAGCATTATGCACTTTTAATTAAATAGAAGAAATAGAATTCAGAAAACTGAAAAAGAGTGCACTTGGTGCGCAGTAGTGCATCCAACCGAATTTGCCATAAGAAATATACTATTAAATATTATATGCATTTCAAAAACAGATTAAATCAGAACAAAATACATCAAATTAAGGATCTATTTCGTTTAGTATTTAGTCTGGAAACATTGTGGTCACTACCCACACATTTGGAATAATATTATGTTCC